TCAACTAGTTTCGAAATGTGGGCAGCGCCGCTGAAGAAAAAAAAGGAAGTGTAAACGGGTGGAGTTGTCCATAGTGAAAAGGGAGGAAAATTGCAGTTTCCTCAGTAGAAATGTGTAAAAAAGGCCAAATTAGAAAACCGATTAGAATGTGTGTCTGCCTGCGCAGAGAATAGAATTGTTCATGCAAAAAAAGAAAATCTACCGACAAGATTGGGAGTGCAGTGCATAATAAAAATATAAAAGTGTGTTCAAAGTGAAAAAAGAAAAGTGCAAATCGCAGGAGCGCCCTTTGGAAGAAATCGGCTACGACCGTCGAAGGTGGCGAACGCAGTTGCAGAAAAATGAGTTCGAGTTGCAGTAGTGAAAGGTGTGTACCGCAAAGAAATTTTTTCGTTCGTGCGAGTGGATAGCTAACATTTTTCTAAGCATGTCGGTTATTATAGTATGTATATAAAATTATTTAATGCAAAGTATGTATTACGCCAGCATGTGGCCGGGTAAATAAAAGCGTACGTACGTACGCCTGTCGCAAATTAGTTGTGATAACAGTCCTCACAAAGGCAAAGCTTCTGTGCGTGCATGTGTGTACGCCTTTGGGGTTGATGCGGGCAAAGGATGGATGGTGCTATGCCATGACTACGATTTTGAATTTATTAATGCATATATAGATTGTACTACACATATGTATGAATGCATGTAAAAATAAATACGCACTTAGCCGATTATGGCAAGTATTTCGACTATATGGGATGGGCCAAGTTGGCATGTATTTGTGGGTGTTGCAAAATTATTTTACGTAGTTGTAGTTGTGTCCTAAAGCAAACAAGGAATGCGCCATTCAACCCGAATGTATATACTTATATAATTCTGGTAATCCGTCCCTTTGATATTTTCCTTGGTTTCTCTTCTATTGCTTTGTTAGCTATCCTTTCGCCTTTCTTTTGCAATTGTGCATCCTGTCGGGAATATTTTTGAGTGCTTTGTTGGCTTCTCTTCTATATAAGTGTGTAAACATCCTTTATTCCTTTTTATATTTAATTAAGTTCAGAAAAATTAGGCGAGCAAACCCTGAAAACCGGCCATCAAAGCAGAGTCTCCTTCTTTCCCCTGTATCGAAGACACTTGAAGCCTTGCAGCTCTTGCACTATACGGTGCAACTGACACCCGTAAGGCATCAGCATGCACTTAAAACACCGTAAACATTCGAATAATTCGTGCCATGAACCGAAATCGCCTTGTGAGAGAACAGACCACGTAGATTTGGATCTATCAAAGTCGTTTGACCGTCTACCTCGATCCCACATTCACTCAAATGGTGGTTAGCGAATTATCTGAGTCGTCTACATTCATCAGTGATTTTCAGAGATAAAACAAAGAAAAATTAAACAGGGGTCCCCACTGCTGACGACTGCCCTATAATGACGGCCGGGAATCAAATTGATGACTCGTGCTGGAAAGTAAGAGGTTACATTCCCAACTTTCCCGCTTGTTCACTGGAAGGAACTTAACTCTCCCCCTCGAATAAGGAGATCAAACCAAAGCTGGGATTTCACGTCGGGGCTAAATAATTCCGACAGTAAATTATCCAAAAATACTCTTGATGCTATCCGGCAGCATCTGGGGAAAGACAAAGTCACATACGTGTGCATAATCGGACGAAGTCTAGAGGTTGTAGACCCGACAGCGTACCGACAGGCCACAAACGGCATTCACACGGAGTCGCCTCGACTTTGACCAGCTCCGGACCTATGATTGTCGTTTTGGGAACACAGCCATCTGACTTGGACGAGACAGAACTTCGTTTACCTCGGGATACTGCAGCAGGCTAAACTCCTACCTGAATAGAGAGTTAGCTCACGACTTGCAATGCACCAACGAATTTGGAAAGGCACACATACTGGGTCTCCCGTTAGTCACAACGATTGAGATCTAGGCGGGGCTCAGTAGCCGCTACAACAACATTCTGACTGTAGAATTGTCATTAATGTTTATTCGCTATTTTAAAAATGAAAATCGTTATGGACCCCGACAATTATATAATTAGGCTATTCGATAAGCGGTTAACTATCACAAATTATCATGTTTTGACGCCTCTTACTGCTTACGACAACCTCATCATTCTGGTCAGCCAGTTAAGATTTACTTAGAGGTCGCTCATCGCTAATTTCTATTTTCAAGTAATTAAAAAAAAAATTAGGACAAGCATTTAATAGTGGTTAATAAAAAGGGAAATAAATCCACCCCGCACCACCTAACGGGCTTAATTAATTTTTTCCGGTGTTTTGTTCTAAATATAAAACATAGCGGACCATAAATGTGGATTTTCCAAAACCTCAACTCCTGCGCCAACTATCGACAATAACGTACAATAAATATGGGTTTTTTTTATTAATCCTTTCATATTGCATTGTAATCGCGTTCTGAGCTAAGTTTGAGGCTTCAAGTCTCTAGCTCATCGGAAAGTTGGTAACAAATTTATTGTAAGCTTTGATTACACACAGGTGAAACATAATAAATGATACACTGCCGGAACAAAGTATTGGCACAGCAAATTTTTCACTGCAAAAATTTTTATTCTAATATTTTTCCGCCAATTTTGTATAAAAATATGATTCATTCAACTCATTCAACAAAAAAAAACATAAAAATAAAATTCCTAAACTTTGTGCAAAACTCGCTAAAACTCAGCAAATTTTCATCAAAATTTTTAACTTTTTAAGCAGATTTTTTAGATTTTTTTTAATATGCAGTTTTGCAGCCCGTTAAATTCTAGTAAAAAAAATGCAAGTTCGAAGTTAGTCAAAAATTTTTGAGAATTTTTTTGTTGAAGGTGTTTTGCATTTTTTCCATATAGAGTAATTTCGAAAAGAATTGCGTGAAAAAAAATTCCAACAATCAACGGTAATTCCTAGCTACTTCAAACTTACACTTTATTATAAGAAAATTGATTGGGCTACAAATCTGCATACTCAAAAAAATTATTGATTAAAAAGTTGAAAATTTTCCTGAAAATTTGCTGAATTTTCGCGAGTTTTGCACAAAGTTTAAGAATTATATTTTTATGTTTTTTGTTGTAGAATGAACTATATTTCTATATGAAATTAGCGGAAGAATATTAGAATGAAAATTGTTGCATAAAGAGAGAAGCATAACAACCACATGGAAGAAAAAGTTCTGAACTAAAGTTGAAGTTCAGTTTACAACTCAAAAGCGTTCAAAACTTTTCTCAGCTGCTCTTCCAGATAGAAAAAAACACAACAACAAACTTAACACTAAATATCATAGATCTTATTTGGAAGTTTTATAATTTTTTATGTTCAATAAAAAAAGACCATTTAACAATTACTAAATCGTAAAGCATAACACAGTGTATCACTATTATGCATATTGACAAGTTTGGACTTAATTTTTGTTTATTGTTTAATGTTAATTATGTTTTTAATAAAACAAAACAAAAAAAATCAACAAGTTTCATGAAAATTTTTCACTTTTTTGAGTATACAGCTGGTTTGTTATAGTCCATTCAATTTTGGTATAACAAAGTGCAAATTTAAAGTGGCTGTATATTACCGTTAATTTTTGGCATTTTCTTTTTTGTTGACGGTGTTTTGTATTTTCCTCTATATAAAAGATAGTCGACTTTAGCCCTGAATAATTTTTGAAGTAGTGAGATTATGGAAAAATTATAGGATACTTATTTCAAGCTTCATTATCATTTAAAAATATATATTTCCTAGCTTTTTTAATGTGTTAGCTTAGTGAAAGTAAGGGTTCAAACCCCACAGGTAGCTGAAAATCATTATGTTCCGTTATGGAATTAAGTCATTCGAATAATTCAAATACTAATAACGATTTTACCTCATAAGAAGAAAGTGCCGTGTTCCTTCGTGATTCATGCATTTCCAGCTGTGAGATAGTTCAGCTTGGCTTGTTTTCTAATCCGATTCCAAAAATATAATTAAACATATTTTTTTTTTTTTACTGATAAAATCTCAACAATAAAGTTAAAAGCAGACGAAAATGAATAGTTTCCTTATTTCTTTCCCACAGCCATCTACTTCTTTGCTCCGCAGAGTGCGCTTTCTGCTATTTAGTTTCTTGGTAACACAGTATAGACAGTAACCAACCTTTTTGGGTTGTTGTTGTAGTAGTCGTTGTTGTTGTAGTTATATTCACTCCTGAGGAAGGCACGGGGTTGTGTGCTGCTATTTAATGGCCTTCCTCAGACTTTTTCTTAGATTTCAGGGTTGTGTGGTGTATTATTATTAGATAAATAAATTTAAGTATTTGTCAAATCGTGATTTTATTAAAAGAAAATTAAAAATGGTGTTGAAAAACCAAACAAACACTCGTGCGAAAGCTCTATTACTTATGGCGTACTTATTCTTTTGTGGACTTTATGTTACTTGAGAATTTAGACAACGTGCGAGCTGCCAGGTTCTGTTATCAATATAATTAACACAAGCTTTTCCGAGTGGTTGCCTTTCAATAAAAAGAATAAACAAATATTCGCAAATAAATTGGATTTATTTTATAACTGACAACTAACCTACGCTTTTTGTTCTTTTCTCCATTTTAATTTTGACTCCTTATTACCGCCAACAACTTTATGTGTATACATATTTACAAGCTGTCAAAATTTTGCGTAGTCCCACGAGCTAGGTAAAAACTATGGCATTCGTATTCACAACGAGAAATCTCAAAATTTTTGTTTGGTCTTTCCAAATTTTCTCTTTTTAATCAGTTGGCAAAGGCCCTCAGTGGCAGCGCTCCGAGCGTTGAGATAGTAATTTCATGTCAATTAGTAGAAAAGTTCCATGTTGAAAAAACTTTTTATTATGGCGAGAAAAATTTACATTTCTGCTGTGCCAATTCGTAACTTTTTACTGCTGGAAATTTTTGACAGTTGCTCTGGTTCAAAAGAAGTTGAGCAATTAAAATCAGAAATTATACAAAAAAGACTTGTCTTTACTGACATTTATTCTTCTAGAACTAAAAGCCATGAATTTATTAGACGCCTTAGTAATAAAATCAAACCATCAGGCCGGGTTGAAAATTTTCATTCACCTCATAGTTAACAAAAATTTACAATCCGTAGTACTTTTCTATCAATTCTCAAATGCGTTTAATTTTAATCGTTTAGAAAATGCGTCATTTATGTATACCATTTTATGTGGAATTATTCAATAAATTTCGTTTTACACTATACTTTTTGAAACTTTTTGGAGTTAATTATTTTTTGTTTATTAAAAGCAACCCTGCGTGCTTGGAAGGCGTGTGTACCAATAATTTCATCCCTAGCATATTCATCCCCGAGGAAGGCAGTCGCCAAATTCACCGAAGGTTGTTTACTGGTTATATTGTGCTTGGTAATTATGGGGCTCGACAATTACCTCCGGTGGCGTAGTTGGCCATGCGTGCGTAGCTCCCGTGCTAGTTACATTTGCATGCCAGTTCTTCAAGCTTGTTGAACCAGTCCTTGTAGCTCGGTTTCTCTCAAGCTATAGATAGTTTATCCTGCCTTGTTTTTTTCAACCATTAGCCATGTGCTATGTCAAAATCGATTTGTCGCACTGATGGCAAATAGTAAGCGTTGTACAAATCCTTAAATCCAAGAGAGGAACAATCCAAGCACAGGCAAAAAACACGGAGAGTAAAAGTATGTGCGAGAGCAGCTGCTTGTATGTACTATGTATGTATGTATTAACATATATTTGTGTGTGGAAGAAAAGGCAAAACTACCATCAACATCAACGCTACAAGGAAGTAAAAGAAAACAAGATTCTCCTTTGGAAAATTAAAAACTGATACGGTGTTTACATGAGGCGATTTTACAGGCAACTTTTAGTTGAAAGCAACAATCGCCGAGTGTGAACTGTTTTTTAACTAATTGCTTCCACCCTGCAAAAATCGCGACTACTCCATGCATGCGTGTAAAGAGTACTCCCTAAGGACCAAAGAGTACTCCAAAATTAACCACAATTCATATAAAAAATATGGTCCAATTAGCATTGCGATGTCCTAGGGCGGGACCATATACTCCATCCCTGCATTAAATACATCAGAGTAGCACAAAACTACTCCAACATATTAACAATGGCATTGTTGTTATATTTTTTCGTTTGTACACGCTTTTCTTCTTCACTTCTCAAATGCTTTTTCGAAATTAATAAAAGCCAAGACAAAAATTAAAAATTACATGTTGCCTCTGACGGCATTCGAACCAGAACATGCTGGGAGCTAAGAACTAACAGCGAGCATCTCTACACGTTCAGCTACAGCCAGACATGCAAATGTGTTTTCAAATGCTCAACTTCAATCACATTTCGTTAAAACACGAGCAGTTATCGGATAACAAACAATAAGCTGGCGCAGAGACACGAGTTGGTCCGCTACAGCATGACAGAGGAACACTTTTGTAAGTACTCCAATTTACCACAAATAGACTAGTTGGTCCAACGATTTTTGCAGGGCAATGAAGTGGGGTGCAGCTAACTTTTGATTCAATTAATCGCCTCTTAAATTGTCTGGAGCATCGCCTCATGTGCACACCGTTTTATGCAGGAAATGTGAACAACTCACACACATGCATTTGCGGTGGAACCGAAAGTAAAACAGGGTGTGTGCCGCCGCGCCGCATTCAAAGCAGGCGGACTGGGCTGCTTGTTGTTGACGATGACGAACACTTTGGGAAAGTTGGGCGGCCAAAAGGGTTTTCCCTATAAATGCAATAAAATGTCAAAGTTGGAGTAAAAATGAATGAGAGAATCGAAGAGCGCTTAAGTAAATACATATTCAAGCATTTGTGCTTTTGAGAGTTTGCGCGTGGTCCGCGGCAAAAGAATTTGTGGTGAAGCCGCGAATTTTGAATAGTGTCGATATATATACATACATATGCATGCACATGTATGTTTGCTTTCTGGAATTAATGAATGAACGAACGAATGCATTGGTGGTATGAATGGATAAAACACGCACGCATGTGTGTATGTATGTATGTATGTATCTATGTACATGAACCAACGACTACAGATCACCTAATCAGCCATCGTTGTATTTGTAATCGATTTTCAGAAAAAAGTTTTCGTAGCGTTTTTGACGTTTTTCGGTTTTGTTTACACCGTCTTCTACCTCTTCGTAGTGATTTTTTAGCGATTGAATGTGTTTTCTGCAGCGATTTTAATTATAAATTTTGGTTTATTACATATTTATGATATAAAATAAAGTGCTGTGTGATCGGAACAAGTTTGTGCGTATGTTTGGTTTGCCAAAAGGCGTAAATTTGCGTGAAAAGGAGGTGCACGTTTGTGGCCAGAACGTTGGCATTGAAAAATCGACCCGTGGTAATGATATGCGATTGTAAAACACTTTCAATCATGAAAACCATATTTTATGAACTTTTTTTGCTAATTGTCATCAAGTTTCATTTTGTATATTTTATAATAAATACCAATTTAATCGCACTCAATCACCGCGCCTTTTTCGTTTTCTTTGTTTGTTTTCATTTTTAGGCAGATGTCAAAAACACTCAGAAATATACTTTTTTCTTGCTTCTTTGATTAGGTGATCTTGTATTTTTGGTTCATGTCTATGTACACAAATTGGGGTGAGGAAGAAATTTAAATGAAAAGCAAGGAAAAACAAAAATACATACACACATACTGCCCATACTTCGTGGTGGTCCCATACTAATTTTGTTTGGATCCAATAATTTTTTCAAGAATGAATTAACGGTAATCTTAAATTTTTATTTGAGAATTGAATTCGGCTTTGTTTCTTGCTCAAAAAATACTTGTTTTAATTTAGTTTTCTTAAAATTTTGAGATTTTATTGTTTTAAAAAGAAAAATATATACCTACATTAGGGCGGGTCAATTTCTATGGGAGATTTTTTTGGACTATGCGCGTACAGCGCAGAAGGATTCTTCGTGTAATACTAAGCAAATTTGCCGAAAAAAGCATGGGTCTAAAATCAATTTGGAGTTTGCCAAATTGCGAGCGTCGCGTGACGGCAGTTTGGAAATACGCATAGTTTTCATTAAATTTTTTCATTTTTACATTTTTGATTAAAGTTTTTGATTTCATTGTTTTAAAAAGATTTTTTTTTGCATTAAATGTAATTTTTAGAAATATTTGTTTACTTTTTTCTTTTAAATTAAACATTTAATTTGGTATTTCTTTTTTAACGTACCTTTTCTTTTAATTTTTAGATTTTATTGTTTTAAAAAAGAAAATATTTTTAAGTTTATCTAATTTTTAGATTATTTATCTTATAATTTAATTTTTTCTTTTTTTAATTTAATTTTCTTTTAATTTTTAAATTTTATTGTTTTAAAAAGCAAAATACATATATAGTTTTTAATTTCGTTTAATTAGGAATTAATTTAGGAACTTATTTCATATATTTAATTCAATTTCTTTCTTTTTCCAATTTAATTTGCTTTGATTTTTAAATTGTATTGTTTTAAAAAGAAAAATATGTATTTTTTAATTTCTTCGAACTTATTTCATTTTTTATATTAAACCTTTATAGTGAACCTTTTTTCTTTTTTTCAATTATTTAAATGATCTTTTAATTTTTAGATTTTATTGTTTTAAAAAGAAAAAATTGTTTCCTTATATGTAAGAAATCTAGTGGATGTTCATGCTAATATGTATGTATTTTAGAAGAATTTACAGCTGTGCTGCTGTGGGTTTTCCACTTTCTTCAGTTGCAATGACTCGAAGTGATATGAATAGGGGTTGCGGGGGATAATGGCTTGTTCAAATGTTATTTAGAAAATATGTATATCCAATTCGCTTATATAATTTGTATATGTACCTTCATCCTTTTAATCCATTTTTCTATACTCTTCTTTCTCATTGCAGAATAGAATGGGTGGAAATAATCGAGCCACGCACCAAGGAGCACATGTACGCCAATCTAACAACTGGCGAGTGCGTTTGGGATCCACCGGAAGTAAGTATGACACACATTTACACAAAAAAAAAAAAAATGCAACAATAAAAACATGACGCTGACATAGGGGACATACATACATACATAGTACATAGTAGGTACGCATAGTAGTGACATTTCAGCATCACACTTTTGCCTGTGCAACTTACCAAGGCTAGGCGTGCGTGAGTGTAAGTGTCCTTACTGGCGGTGCTATTGCATTTGAGAGCGTCGGCGTGAAACAGCGTCGTGTGGAAGTCAAGGATACATACATATGTATGTATGAATGAAGCAACGTGTGCCCCAAGTCACCCTGTCTGCTGTCGTTGCTGTTCTAAATTATCATACACTATTCGTTTGCTGCGGGTTGTTGTTGTAGAACATGTATTTTCGATTGCAACGCTAATATGAGTATCCTTATTTGCACGTCCTCTTCTTCTGCTTTCTCGCCATATACTGCGATTATTTAGTAGTCTCGTTTTCATTTCGCAACAACAAAGTGATTTAAGTTCGTTTGTTCGCATATTTTTGCCTGCATTGACCCAGTTAGCTACATACATACATAGTACATACGAGTGCATACATATCTCACCTAATAATCCAACCGATGGACCGGACCACCGTCCGATCGACCGGCCTCATGCATCAATTTGTTCTACTTTACCACCAGTTTATTTGCTACTTTTCACTCAAAATTTTTCACCATGTCTCTTCCGCTTTGTTTCTCGTTCTAATTTAACTGTTAAGCTCGTCGGCGATTTCAAGCATCCGTTGATGGTTACCCCAGCAACGAGTACATGTGTGAGTGTCGGGTTGAATGTCGGGTGCTTGAAGCTTGCCCGGCGACACTCAAGCATAAAGCGTCAACACCATTTGCAATAAAATTTCGTAGTGGGCGGACGTAAACATGTCTTCATCGGATGACGATTTTTTGCTACTTGCCACTAAAATCTTTATCTTCCGCGAACTTGCTCATTTTACATATCTTCAAAATTGCACTTGTTGAAGTCTTTTATAATAAATAATAAAAATTTTTGATTTTCCATCAACACGAGCCGACAACAAGTACGTGTGACACGACGATCTCCGATTGCCTCGGTTGCTGGGGTAACCAACAACGGATGCTTGAAATCGCCGACGAGCTTTAAATACTCGGCTTAATTTGTTTGCATAGTGCATTGCAAAAATTACCAAAAAATGAAAAGCATTAAACTGTGTCAATGGCCCAAATCATACAATGCATGCATAGATATGTATCAAGTTTTGGTAATGGTAAGCGTAATGGTTATTATTTTAGTTTCCATAGTTGTTTGAGTTTCGCCTGCACTCCGGGGCGAAAATATCCTCTGTCAATGGGGACTAAAGGCCAAAACACAATAGCGCAGTGGCAGTGGCAGTTTTTAAAATCAGCTGTTACTGCTAATATTGGCAGTCAATGCCGCAGCAAACACAATACGGCGTTGTCAGTGACTGCTTTTTTTGACATTCCCTTTTGTTTGTTTACATTTTTGTTGTTGCCTTTTAGGCTTCAGTGACATCAACAGATGTTGGCTGCGTTTCATTTATGTCAAATTCAGCATGCGAAGTTTGCTGCGATGAAGGCAGTGGCAGTGAATTTAGAATTTGGGCTAAACTGAGCAGTACTGCTAGCTGCCACTGCTGTATTGTGAGTCGCTTCATTGGACACCACACTTTCTAAAAAACAGCTGATTTCGAAAAACTGCCGCTGCCACTGCCACTGCGTTATTGTATTTTGGGCTTAATGCAAGCTAGACCTCTCAGGAAAATTCACGTGTAGAATTTTCAATTTTTGTGTGGGTAATTGCCAAGAGGGAGTAAAGCAGTAAGCAAAAATTTTTTAACTCGTTAGTCAGTTAGTGCTTGGTTATAACAGAAAATTTTTAAACGGTATTGGTAGGTGAATTCTTTGTAATAAGGGTTCGAACTTTGTGACATGAAAATAGATCAATCTTTGTCTGGCCAAAGCCGGACAGTAATAGAGAATATGTTCTGAAGTCTTGCCGTTTGAAGGCAGAGCAGGAATTCAAACTCTGTGAATACATGCATGTGAAATCGCAGTCGGTTGTGGCCAGTCAGGTACTCAGAAAATAGCCTGATGTCATTTCTAGTAAGTAACTGCGTTCAAAATTTTCAGGGTGAAACACCGTTAGCTATTTGCACATGGGAACTGTGAGTTTGGTACCATTTCCAAAAATACCTCCACCTGATCCAATCGGACGGACGATCATACGGTAGAGTTACTCTTTTTGCAGGCCCACGTGGCTCGTTTGGCTTTAGCAATAGTTTTCTAAAGATGGGATTTCCAGTTGATTCTCTTATCTGGCGAAATTCCTAGACATTTGACCTCATCGGAGTATTTAAGCATTGTCCCTCCAAGCGTAACCGAACCATAATATGTATAGGTACCTAAAATAAATAAGCGATTACAGTGCCAAACGAAATAAAGTTTCCAGTTTTTAAACTTCTTCCAACGAGGAAAACGACGCACATTTTTTTTTTTTTAAGAACAAAATAACCGATAACTTTTGCCTTTTGTTTTTTAAGCATTGATAGTAAAGTGATTTTTTCGGAAATTGGATTTTTTCGGCATCGCCTTGCGCCGCCAAGAGTTTTACGCAATGATTCGTATTTTATTTTTTTGGGTTTTGTCGGTACTTTTCGGATGCTTCGGGGTTATTTTTTGATATTTTGCAGACTTTTTTGAATGTTTTTGGAGCATTTTTGAGATTTTTCGCAAATTTAGATTTTTATGGGTTCTTTCGGAATTCCTCAGAACCAAAAGTGCTTTTAGACTTTTAGGATTTTTCAGTCTTCTCGTATTTCATTTTTTTCTGAGTTTTGGGGTTTTATCATTTCTTTTCGGTATGCTTTGGAATTTTTGGAGTATTTTCCAGACCTCGCAGAACTTTTTCGTTTTTTTGTTTTGTTTTAATTTTAAAAGTACATTTCAGCCCTAACTATTTTTTTGTTTAATTTTTCGTGCATTTTAGATTTTCCGTTCTGTTCAGGATATTTCGGACTTGTCGAAGTGCTACGTGTTTATTTTCTCGAATCTGTTGGGGACTTTTCCGAGCTATTGTTGGGTTGTTTTTTTCTATATTTCGGTGTTTTCCTCCCGATGTCTTATTTTCCGGGATATTATGAGATATTTTCGTGACTTTTTGGAATACATCATAATTGGTTTGAAATATTTCGGGATTTTGGAATTTTTTGGGACTGTTACTCTTGATTTTAATTTCGCTATATTTCAGGACTTCTTTGTGATCTTTTGGAATTTTTTAGGGAGTTTTTTGGTGTTTTTTTCGCGATTTGTCGGGCTTTTTCTGACTTTCCGCGATTTTTTACTTAAAATTTTCGGTACATTTTGGTACCTCTACGGGATGTTTCCGCGTTTTTGGCGATATTTTGGAACTTATTCGTGACCTTTTGGGATTTTTTCGGGACTTTTCGCACTTATGTCGTCTTTTTCGGATGTCTGGCGATTTCTTCGGATATTTTCTGGGACCTTCTGAAATTTTCCTTTTTATGATTAACTTAAAAATAAGTAGCTTTGCCTTCGATTTATTTTTATTTTTATTAATTATCTACTCATCGGATGTCGGCCAACATTTCTCGTCAACAGTTTCAAGTGCTTCTAGAGTGTGAGATAAATAGTTATTTATTTGCAAACCTAATCAAAATTTTCCACTCAAATAGAAATTATACAATACTTCTAGAAATTCCGAGCACATCTACATATTCCTAGTAAAGGTAGTTGTTACTTGCTAACACCAAGTTCGTTTAATATTTACAATGAAAATTCTCATTCATCGTGACGAACATAGAATTTTAATTGAAAGGAAGACTTCTTATTAAGTGGTCTGATTGATAAGATCTTGGCTTAACATGAATAATGACAAGTTGTACTTTTCACACAGCTTTCGAAGCTCTGCTGAAAACGTTTACCGTATGCTAAATTCACTTTAAACAGCACGTTTGTTGGCTCATTGACTTTTTTCACGCACTGTTTACGCACACGCTTTAAGTTTGGCCCTAAAAAGCAGCTAACTGTGTGATAATTTCTCAGCGAATTACCAAATTATAAAGAAAAACATCACATGAATTCAACATATTTACATATTAATATACATGTGCACAAGGGCGGTCCTTAAAATATCAACATGTAAATATTTTCTGGGACACATCTTTATTTTGTAAGTAAGAATTTTAAACTTTTAAATACACTTTTAGAGATCGCTACCAGGGTTTGAATTTTTTTAAGTGCAAAAATTCGGCAAAAGTGTGTCTTGAAATCTTAGAAATTGGACATATTATTGAAGCTTATTCATACTCGCTGATTTATAGCTGGTCAAAGTAAAAATTTTGTAGAATTTTTGAGATTTAGAAAAAAAAATAAATTTTTTCAAAATCCTGGTGAATTTGTAAATTTTGAAAATTTTCGTGGATGTCTTTGTCATATTTAATGTTGTTATTTTAAGGATCACCCTAATGTGTACCAAATACATTAGTAAGAACAACCGCTATAAATGTCTTTAGAACTGATGACAACTAAATATCAACAATTTTAGTCGCAAACCCAGCACGCAACAACAACGACAAACAAGCCAGTAAGTAAGTATTGCGCCAGTGTCGGCAAACTACATAAATAAACTTGATAACGACGACGACAGCTATAACAACAACAACAAGTGTGTCTAGTAAAAATTATAGACGTCCAACAACTTAGGTGAACGTACATACATACATATCTAGTACATAAATTCTGAAGAACCACCTCCGGCGGTGTGAGACGGTTTTTGAGTAGGAGGGGAGCAACCAGAAATGGTGTGCCACCACCATGAGTAAGCACGGTTCGTTTTCTAAACTCTTCCTAAAAGCGGTATGTTTTCAAGTGTTTCGCTTTCTACTTCGGCGACGGCAACATTGGCAGTGGCCACGGCGGAAGGTAACCAACATGCGGCAGCCAGCTTGGTCTGACCCGTTGTTGGCTGGTTGGCTGGTTGGTTGGTGGTCTGTGGCGCGATTGTGGTGCCGGTGACGCAAATACCGGAAGTTTTGAGGTAACGCCACGAAAATCCGACCGCATTTAAGCGAATACCGCAAAAGCACAAAAATATGAGTGACAGCTACAGTGGCAGTCATGTAATTAGAATAATCAAGCGAGTGAAATTCAACTAAAGTTACTTTGAATTAAAATTTGCTGGGGTTGAAGTTCACTCGGAAGCGAATCGCAGAACTTGGCCCAAATGTTTCGAAGGTGATAACAGTGATTTTTGCGTGACACATTTTTTTTTTTGAAAACTTGTACATATCGCGAACATAAGTCACTGTTATGGGGAAAAAATATATACTATTTTAATGAAGGTTCGGAAAGCAAAGTAAAGATCATGATTTTAGAGAACATATCCCCCATTTACACAATTACTTCTTATATTCTTATTATGTAAAAATTTCNTGGGAGGAAATTAAAAATTTAAATGCGTCTCTTAAAAAGCTTAACATTGTTCCTGTTTGTATGACCAGCGCTGTGTGTATACACATGTAAATTATAAAAATAAAATTATGAATGAAAAAAAAACAAAAATCTAGAAATTAGCAATCAAGAAAAAGACACGATTTCAGTTTAATGGCAGCAAAAAAACTACGCGCACAAGAATATTCCATGTCGACATATATACATACATATGTAGTACTTACAAATTTACATACATACGCACATTAATACATGCATATGTACATACATATTTATTCGGTCTTTATGTACATGCGGAAAAAGTGTAAAAGTAGCTGCTTTTTATTTATTAAAATTTCAAATCACGTCCATCGTACATCGGAAGAAGCCCAAGTGGTGCAGAGGGTGCAAGTGGAGTGAGACATGTTCCCAAAACGGGAAAATGTGCGAAGGAAGGCAGAAGCAGCAGCCCAGTAGCAACATACTGGATTGCAGCGCGCGCGCGCAAAGTGAATAAAGTAATAATGAGCACGTCGAGTGGGTAATAATGTGAAACTATAAAATTTCAAAAGGCAGCGGCGCACAGTGGGAATTTAATTTTTTTGAATTTTATTTTATTTTTTGTATAATTGTATTATAATTGTTGTCTTTCATGCTAAAACGGCTGGACGTTCTTCA